TATAAACAGATATAATTTTTAATAGCACTATTTATATTTTTAATAGAATATTTAAATCTTTTTCTTTTTATACTTGAAAATTTCAAATTAAATTAACAGAAAACGTGAAAATGTAGGCAAACTACTTACGTAGAAAATATTTTATGTCAAAGTCAATCACTTGAAGTGTTCACCCTAACAATATATTATTAAACACTAACAACTTAGTTGATGGTACTCAAGCGTATTAATTTGTCTCGTGCTACTTTTGATATAAAGAAAAAGACAGAAGATTCCACCGCATGGCAAGTTATGATCACGCAATAGCTTCGATGGATATCTACACTTTCACTTTTAGATGTAAGCTTACCCCACTGTGGCCACTATGTATATATATCATTCTGATACTATTATATATATCCCATATCAATTAAACAATAAATTTATATGTATATGATGTTTGTATTTATTATCAGAAGTACGATTGAGCAACTATATCTTTAATTTTAGGCCTAATTTACGTGACATTTAGTAAAATTGCAATAGTAAATATGAAACCTTTTTTTGATTGAAATTATATTTGTTTTAAACGATTAAAATGCCATGATATGTTAGGCAATTTCTGAAACGAAATAATTATGTTTGTCCTTCTGATATCCAAAGTAGAACGTGGTGTAGCATTTAATATTAAGAAACTTTTATTAGCTTCATAAAACAATTTAATTAATCAATTTTATCTTTTGTTTTGTTTTTAATTTTCCTTTAAGGATCAATAATCTCTTCTTTCAACACTTTCCATTCGATTAGTGCAAATTAATAACTTCAGGTGGCTTCCTTTACCTATTAAAATCCAGGGGGTTAATTCGGGAGATCGAGTAATCCATAAATGGAGTCTTTGTCGACCAATTTAGGCATCTCCTTTAGGAATCGGAATGATACAAGCGCTTTTTGCATGCATCATGTCCCTTCATATTAAAGTTACGCAATACAATTTTTGTTTATGTATTAAAGATTTCAAATTAAAATCTCACAAACGTACGGATAGATACTTTTGCTATAATAATTATTGAACTCTTTGGGCAGGGAACTAGGATAATCCTGAAAGGTAACTTTACAAGTACCGCATCTTGTCTTTAAGATTTTACTAAAATTATAAGTAACGTTTAAAATATGATACAGGTTTAGAATTGATAAAATATAAAAACACAATAATAAAGGATATTTATTTGTTACACTCTGCTTCAACAAATCATAATGCCTACCTAAACTACTTTTTATACCTAATAAAAATAATAATTATTATTATTTCAGCATCATAACAGTCGACAAAACTATAAATCTAAAAAGGTTAAGAAATAAAAAATATCTTATAATTCTACAGTTTGTGATAGTTAATTTATAGTTTGTAGTTGATGTTTAATTCTAGCGTGAAATTCGTTATTAAATAGCACTTAAGACTCTAAGTGAAATGCGTCTTAATTAACAGTAGTTGTATTAACTTCCTTGTTACTGCTTTTCGCTCAAGTTTATATACACTTCTAACACTAATTTGCCTAAGTGGCTGTAATCACATTCTACCAGTCAGTTTATTAACCCTTATAAGTAATCATCCGGTGAGGAATTAGTAAGTAGAGGCTGACTCCGGTGTCCTTCTAGGGGAAAATGGGTTCCTCAGGAGTCGTGCTACGGACTGGATAACACTTATTGGAATCTGCAAAATTGAATTAACAATCATTTATTGAATAAAAGAATTAATAGATATAATTTTGATGGAATATCATGTTTAAGACAAAACTGTCTATCTCAAATCTATCTATTGTAAATTATTTTATTTTTTTAATGAAATTTTGAAGCACACCAAGAACGCATTTTATAAAAATCGCTTTCGGAAAGGTTGAAAAAGAAAATCAAAAGTTTAAAAAATTGAAATACAGTCGAGTGAGGTGTCATTTGAAAGATACCGAAATGAATGATGTCTGTTCTTTGATTTTTGATCAAAACCAAAGCTCTTGAGTTGTAAGCGCTAGTTAAGTGTTTACATATGTATAAAGATTGTACAGTAGCAAAACCCGATTTAATTCTTGAACGTGAACACTAGTTTGGACTAGAATGGAAGCTTTACCAACAAAAGAAGTTTTGATACTACAGTCAAAATAATTTGTGAGATCTTTAACAGAGGGTGTTTTATCCGACATCCGCTACAACCAAATAAAGTTATAAACGGTAACTAAAAGACGTCGAAACTAACGGTATGTATTTTGTTTTTATTAGTACCTAAAAAAATGCATTGTACCTGAAATATGTCATCAATTATTCGAGACAACATTCCCACGTGTTGAGGGTTTCTTTGAGGTCTGGTAGGTCCTTGGGAAACAGTTGGAGTAGTAGATGGTGCTGATATGGGGGAAACTGTCGTGGAATGTGTAGTCGGTGGAGTCATAGTACTTGTAGTAACTGGGGTTGATATCTTTTCCTTTTCGGTATGCACTTCTTCAGGTTGTACTGTTGACGTGGAAGCTACTTTAACTTCATCTTCTACTTTATCTGTTATTGCTTTTTCAGTGTTTTGTAAATTTTGAGTTGTTACTCGTTGTGCTTCCAACAATAATTCCTGTTGGAGTTTTTGTTGACGAAGAAGCTGTTGTTTGTATTGTTCAGCCTGTTCGGATGATATGGGATCGGCATCCAGGGAGTTTGCTCCAAAGAAATCGTCTGAATTCTGTAAATATATACTTGCGTTGTTCAAATCTTAGTTTAACTACCTTGTTGTCAATTTAAATGAAATTTACTTATGTTTTTTGAATAAGAAGAGCTGTATTTGAAGCAATTTATTAGGGTGCATAGGAAAAGTGTTTTTTTTTTTATTTTCAAAAAATAGGTCCTGAAGTTCGTTATTAGAAAATTAATTAAACATTAAGAATACTTTTAAAAGATTAATCAGTATTAACAGGCATATCACCATATCACGGATGAATAACAGCCAATTTGTTTTCACTTCCGCAAAAAAGTAGAATATGTAGGAAATTCTTATTAAGCAATTTTTGTACAGAGAGACAACCGTTTTGTTTTGTTATTTTTTTGTAAAAATACGTTACTATATTGCGTATTTAATGTTAGATAATCATTTTTACAAGCAAGTGTTTGTGATACACACGAAGACTACATTTTGCCGAAATTTTGTACTAAATAGCCAAGCTAATTATTTCCGTATCCAGTTGCAAAGACAGTATATGTCCATTTCACGAATAACTATAGTCATATTAGTAGCATAATTGAAAAATTACCTTTAGAGCAATCATTCAAAGACGTACGACTTGTATTTTATATTTTCTATTGCCTCATAATACTTCTACTATGTATTATGTTATTACTATGAGCGATTTCAGTGTGTTTTTGGTCATTACTTTTTATATTGGCTCCTACAGATTCTGTTAGTAACGTAAGCACAATTTGTCGATAATTTTACTGTACCTAAACAGTAAAGTTTCAAAACATTTTCCAAATGATAAACGGTCTACAAAAAGTAAGGTTTATCCATATTTGTTTCTTCGAGAGTATAAAAATTGAGATGTTTGTAATTGTTGTTTAGTTTGATGTCCTTCATGTTTATATAAAAAGAAATGTTAAAAGAAAATCAGTACTGACATTGGGTATTTAACTTCGTATTTACATACATTATGTAACTTAATTGAAGTTGTGATATTGTGTTGTAGAAATTATTCAACCCTTGAACTGTCTATTTAAAGGCTTTTTTAATATATTTCAAAAATAGAATTAATTTATTAAAAACCTTATGAGGACAACAATAGAAAAATTAATAATATAAGTATTTTACTTTTTAGACAAAAACAAAACAAAAACAAAGAATGATGTAATTATTTAGTTCCTCGACGTCCCCATATACNATTAGTTAGTTCCTCGACGTCCCCATACTGTTTGTATTTACCTCACACAAATTTTTCTATAGGTACTGCTAGTTTAATAACAACAGAAAACAGTTTTTCTAATTTATTATCTTAATGATTCGATAGGTTTGATGTAAGTGTATTGGTGTATATTTTTAATATATTTGTTGCCCAAAGCATTTTCTACTTTTTTGGTATAATTTTAGTTCATGTCCCATGATTAACTATTCCCTGTTTCCCCTGTTACTTTTTTTGCTTTTAGAATTATTAGATATGGATTTTCTTTTTTCTTTTAATGAATAATTTTGTCTTTTATTTTGGTGGCAAAATAAAAATTCTCTTATGAATAAATAAATACATAGAAATGACTGAAGATCCTAGTATTATTGGCTTATCGCATTTGTTCAACCTTTTTTATCTCTAACGTTTACAAATCAATTGCAATACAAAAACAGCTCATGTTGCTGCTGCACTATCATACTGATGCCCTTATTTCCTCGATAAGTAGTCCTCGGTAGATGAGTGTTAGTTCGAATGACTTGTGAAGACTTTTCATCTAATGTTTCGGTAATTTGTACATTGTTTAAAATAATGTGCACGATCAGTTTGAATTGTTTGGATATGTAATTTCCTGATAAATGGCAAGAATAACAACAGTTTAAGGTTAGAATAATTTAAATTATTATATTTACTACAAAAATAATATTTAAACGAAATGTACACAAAAGGTAGAAATTGTGAAGTATTTTTGATGGAACAATAACAATACTGCACAATTTTGAATCAAATCAGAAGATACTAATGTAGTATATATCACATGGACCACCTAATATCTAGAAATTGAATTTGTAATACAGTTTTGCTTTAAAGTTTCGACACAGTGTTGCTAGTTAATAATTTATATTTAGTGTGTATAATAATGATATTCAAAGTGAATGGTTATTTACGAAATACTTGAGTATAATAGGAAGTGTTTTTGCGGTAAACTTTTGTATTAGCGCTATAATTGTAACAAATAGTTAATGAATCCTTTTCTTACAGGAAGTTACATTTTTTACTGTCTAAGGTATTTAAATGGTTTCAGGTATGAAACTTATAAAGTCTTGCTATACTTTTGTGAAGTATCTTGCAATAATAATCTAATTTAGAATTGATTGATATTTCGTTGAGTTGTTTTATTCTAAACTTGTAATACTAAGTAAAAACTTTTTTTAGCGTCAGTAGAAATATCTCAAACTCCAATTTCCCCTTGCTAACTACCTTATTTGATAAAACAATTATGTATGTGTTTACGCATTTTAACTCATTTAAGTTCAAAGATTTTGATATGTATCATGAGATGTTTTTTTATTCTTACCGAATCAATGAGTATATTGGCGGGATGCCCAATAGTCAGGGCTAACGTCGATACAAAAAATAAAATCGTTAGTTTCTCCATTCTCTGAAACAAATTAAACAAATATTAGTAATTTTCTACAAGTATCAACGAATTTAGGTAGCAATTAGCATATTATTTATTTGTTTCTGACTGCTTAAAAAAAGTAAATAAGTGTAATTAAATCAACAATTAGCTACAAGATATCTACATAAAATTATTGTATTTATTTTTCTATACCTGCTTTAACTCAAATGTGTTTTATTTGTAGTAAAATAAGGCATTTATTCGTAAATTTATGTCTTAACAAACAACAAAAAATCTATTTTGAAAATACATTCGATTTTCGAAAATTTGGTTTTAAAGATGCACGATAGAGAAATGACTAAAATCTAAAACGTGTAAAATTGAATCATTGTGTGTATTGTTTTGAAGCAAGAATTTGTCTTTCAATTGTTACAAGTAGAATGATTGACATTTCAGACATAATTAGAACATTTCTTGCTAGTAATAATTAAGGATGCTTCGCTGTAATTCTTTTTGTGAGGTAGTTCAAATTTACATTGATAAAAGTACGTATTAATAAATGTTTTTAAAATATTGGTTTGTATAATATCATGCCATAACGATTACATAAGTATGCAAATACAGAAATGTAATATATTTCAGGAATTGTATGGGCAGGTACAATAAAAGTAGCCAGAAATTTTGCGGTATGCGAGATAATGGTTACTTCAAGTCCCTATTAACTGATTTTGATAGTACACTAGTTGAAAATTTAAAATTGTTATTACTATCGAACTACTTGTTCTACTTTCGGGATAGTTTAAATAGTTTTAAATATTGCATAATATATTCATATGATCACTATTTTACTATGCCGGTAAATAGACTAGGAATAATGAAAACACTGGAAGATTTACTTTAGTCAAGCCGGCAACTCCTTTTATCTTAACATATCATTTTTAAGAGTGTATTGTTGTTGAGGAGTATTTCCGATTTCATTATTTCATTATTAATTCAGTAGGTTTCACAAAATAGTTCACTTTGACTTTAATTCAAAAAATAACAAATATCAGTTGTTAACTTAACAAATGCCTCAAAAAACAGTTGAACGAAACGTCGAAAATTGGTTAAAAAATTGATTTATTTACCTGATTAATTAATTAATAGGGAGAAAATGGAATTAAATTGTTTCCTACGTTATTTGAAACAATTATGATTAGTTAAGAACAAAATTAGGGGAAAATTACTTTAATGTTTGGTTTCTAGCAAAATTACGATGCATTTTTCATACTCGTTAATCTCATTGTGGTTATTTGAATTTGGAACGAACAAAATTTTCATATAACTTCTTTAAATGTTATTAAAAGAGTACATAAACGTAGTGAGTAATTAAAATTAATGTGAGTTCTTGTATTCTCTCTTGTTTTCTAATGAAATGCTAGGTAGGTACTTCGCATTTGGATAAACTTTATTTTGGACTTCATCCAACACACGAATGCATTTAGAAAGCTGCAATATTTGGTAATAGTGTACAAGAATCGAATGCTAAGCACATTTTAACGAAAGTTCTTACGACTTCTAATGCATAATTAAGAAGGAATTAATTACTTTCCCCAAGTGCAATCGGAAATGCTTGCAAAGTTGATTGATATACTGCAACTGCAACTGATAGGCTAATATCTGGTAATCCTTTAGTAATAAAGATTAATATTATAAATGTCAAACTGTATGCCCAACATAAGTAGGTAGCAAGAATATTAAAATATCATACTAAAATTTGCTGCTACTAAAATATCGTGTATTTAATAAACCTAAATTAAAAAAAAATAAAATCACAAAAATATTTATAAAAATTATATTTGGTAGGTACTCATATTTTTTCTGCTTAANAAGGTGTTATATAAGGTTTCGTTTCATTTCAAAATGTTTTGAAATGTTGGTACTGTTTTTATTTTAGCAATAATGATAAAAAAAATAATTAAAATTAATCTCTAGGTAGGTACGAATAAAATTTGTCTTGTACGTACTAGAAACAAACATGTCGAAACATTTATGAAACGGTACCAGTTCTGTGACAAATAACAGCTATTATCTAATGAAGTCTGCAGGTGCTAATAACTTTTACTTTTTGATGACATGATAAAAAGTCCATATTTTTCCTTTCTCCAAACTTTCTGGAATTATCTATTTGGTTGTTTTCTGTTGATACATCAATTTATTATAGGTCTTCTTGATCTAAACAATAAGGTGATCGACCATTTGTTTACATTAATAGGCGATTCACATTGCATTATCAATCACAGACGATTCCGGTTGTAGAAGAAGCCAAATAGAGTGAATCAATCAAAGTTCAATGTAATTAAAAATTTTTGATACAACGCTGAAGCGATTTTTATTGTGCATAGGAATTTTAAATGGGCGTGAATAATCGTATCGTTTCAGTAGAATGATTTTCGAATAGGACAGTCATTAACGTTGCCTCACTCTTACAGTGAAAGTTGGAAAATAACCTAACTATGAATTAACTATTTCAAAATATATGTAACAATGTTGTACATCTGCCTTGGCACAAGGTTAATACTTGCTCAGAAGACTTGCCATTAATATTTATTGAAAACTGTTACAAACATATTTAAATACACTGTCGTTACAAAGAAATTATTGCGTGTGCATAATACAAATTACCTCAAGGTCTCCAAGAATTGTTTAAATTGCAATAATATGGCCCATTATTGACCATCAGAAGAATTGCTTATTTTATGTAACTTTAATTGTTTAACTAATCATAAGCACTTTATATACATATATTAATTTCGTATTGTAACAATTAGATAAATTTCTACTAGGTACATGAAAACGGACAAATTTTACAATTTAATACAGAAATTAAAGGTGTTTCTCAAATTACTAAAAAATAAAAGTACTTTGGACTTTAACACATAAATAAACATTTGAGTAACTGTTATAGTATAGGTATTTATCTTAACTTTGAGTCTACTTAACTCTTTTGCATTATTCTTAAAAAATAATAGCCTGAGGGTTATTGAGATGGAATTTGTTGTAAAGGTTCTTGTTTGTTTATTTTAGTAACAACGTTATTCCTTGAAAAGTGCTTGGTCATGGTTAGCAAGAAACAATAATAAGTTACATAATGGTTTTCTATACTCCTACTATTTTAGGCTTATTGAAAGTAATGTATATGTTCAATAGTAGACAGAAACGATCAGTATAACCTTTAGTAAATTATTTTAAGTAATTGTACTAAACAAGTTACTAATGTCTGCCTAAATGTAATTTGAAAGGTTGTATTATATTGATGTTTGATGAACTTAATATATTTTAGAAACAGCAATGTCGTAGAAAAGCTACAATCACGTGCTTTTAAAAAAGAAAGTTAGATTTAATAAAATCTTTCGGTGAATGTTCACGAATGAGCGAAGAAAGAACTACAAAACGTTATTGAAAATAATCTCTAGGATAACATGTTTTTATAAATATTTGACATTTACTTACCTAACATTTATTATATACCATTCATTATATTTTTAAAGTAAATTGATTTAATTTTATAGAATTCTGATGGTTGAAATAAATATGGTTATATTATAATATA